TATAACAGACTTGTGTATATGGATTGACTTGTGTATGGATTAACTGGTTCTCGCATGAATATACAGTAGCCATAGATGCTGGAATGGCTTTAAGAAGAAAATAAACAAACAAACTGTAAATTGTTACCCATTTTCTTATTAGTAGTGAAAATTTGACTGAAATATCTGAATAGATTTTTTTCCACTTGATTACCGATATTGATTATCATAGGTTTTCCCCAGCCATTGAACACAGTAAACCAGAAGCTCTTATAGCTTTAGAATGAATGTAGTTAATTATTTAAATATTTTTCAGTATAAATGCCAGAGATCATTTCATGTTGGAGGAAGTCCAGTCAAAGAAGACGTCATTGGAGAAGATGGGTTGGACTCTGACTGTGTAAGTTATATATGAGATATTTCTTTAGCCTTTTCTTTAAGTTCATTATGGAGATTAGATATACACAAAGTAATAATTTTGAAGTATGTTCATCATGAGTTTTAAATGTTTTTCTCATTAGCTTGGGGAATTTAGCATTGTTTAAGCCATACATGGAAAGATTCACAGAGGAGAAGCTGAAGACAAAGCAGGAAAAGAGTGAGAGTGGAAGTAAGCAAATAGATTATTGATTTTTTTTTATTATAAAGACCCCTGCAAAAGAGCTATATACAGGTTAGATAGACATTTATGCCTTCATTATGTACCGTACCACATAATTAATTTTACTGGGAATAAACCAAACATTACAGTATTTTATGGAGTGTAAAGTCCACTTATATATAATTATAATATAATATAATTAATTTAAATTAATAAAATATTATATATAATAATTAATTTAAATTAATAAAATATTATATATAATATAGTCACACATTTTTTAAACCTAGGTTTAAAACTGATGAAAGAGGATAATGTTTTGCTTTATTATTTTAATACTCAATGGCTTTGGTTTCAGTGATTTCAGCCAATGAGAGATTTCAAACAACCTTTGTGGACACATACAGTATATCAGCTTTGTGGCTGTTTTAAGTCACATCTTTATTTCATAGTAATGTACCAGACAGTGAGATAATAACATCTGATCTGATTTTCTTTTCTCAGAAATGTTTTATGTAACATACGAGTAAATATATACTTTTAGTATGTGTAAAAAAAATACTTGCATTGAAAAAACTTTTTTTTTTAATAACTCCAGTTATTTCCTTCCCTTGCTCTTTTTGTCTGACAGTGGGAGAGAGTTCAGATTCTGTGTTAAAAGCTGAATCATCAACATACTCAGTGAGTAGCAGCTGTCATTTTAAGTTTTTCTCTCTCTTTTTCTTTCTTTCTTTCTTTCTTCACTAAAATCACTATAAATCTGGAGATGATTTTAAGCTATAAACCATTCTACTACAAATGGTGGTACAGTATGACAATATTTTATCATCACATTGATAACCCCTATGGAGGTTTCAGTGTATGATAAATGATTGAGATCCCATTATTCAGAATGTTTACAGAAATATAATATGTAAACATTTAGGGCCATAAATAGGGTAAATTAGAGTGAAAGCACAATTCCAAAAAGTGCCAAAGGGAGTGGAAAGTTCTATGGCTGATTTACCACGTGTCTGTAGTACGTCCTGACAGTAGTTTTGCAGTAGTAGCACTGGCACAAGCTGTTAGTAAATATGTTATCCTTCAAAATTTTATTTAAAAGATTCTTCGTTTATTTCTTTACTTTCAGTTTTTAGAAGATGTAGAAGTGTTCACACCAGAATTGAGCGGTGATGAAGATAAACTCAAGAATACATACAGGTATTGCACTTTATTTTTTCGACATTGTTAGGATATAAGCAGATTGTTATGATGTAAAAAAAAAAAAGATGTAACTTAAATGTCATTAATATCCTGTCCTTCAGGTTTGTGTGTCCACATGCTGGTCGGTTTCGTTGCAGTCTGACCAGTCTTGTGTTTGTGATGGAGGGTGAAGGAGAGGTGCTGTATAGCGTTGTCTCATGGGACCCTGGTCTATTACATAGTTTGGGTCAGATGCGACCTGCAGGACCCTTGTACAACATTGACTGTTCTGCAAAATCAGTCTTACGACTGCACCTTCCTCACTGTGTGATATTCTCTGGTAGGTTTATTTCTACATTCTAAATATTAATGTTTCACTGTGGTTGACTTGAACAACTACACAGAATTTATTGAAGTGATTTATAATTAAAATTTCAAATTTCTTGAAACTGCAGCTATTGAAGATATGTATGTAAACAATTAGCAAGGAGTGTGATGAGAGTTCTTAATGATTACATAAAGAGCACTTCGTGTAAAATGTTAGTCACAGTATAATTAGAAAAACAATACCTTTATTCCAGATAACAAAATTCTTAAATGTATTTTGCAGAGGAAAATAAGGACGGTTTGGCTGTAGCACATTTCACTGGTGGTAATATAGAAATAATACAGCCACTCAAAGTGACAGAAACTCATGTGATCATTGACATCAGAGAACTCAGCCGTTTTGGGCTCATCTGGATTAAAACAATACTTGGCTTCCCCATTGATGGCCAGGTTTTGCTCTTTCTTCGACCAGTAACTGTTGAACAGGAACAGAAAATACTTAATGTCCACTTGCTTCCAGGGAATGTTCCAGTAACAGAGGTACTGCTGTGTGATCATATTGTTCCTTTGTCTTCTGAGTATTATAAAATAAAAACCTGTAACTTTCAAAGCTTCCCTAACACATTAAGCGTATTTGTATATATACATTATTATTGCTTTTGCATAGTGATATGTTGACGTAAATTCACCCCTTTTTTGTTTCGTCCCCCCCACCCCACCCGTCTTTCCTCAAGGTCCAGCGTTTGCACCACAATAAATCATACATGGAGACAACTTCAAAATGTCGCCTTTTTACTGACAGAGAATACAGTCTGTGTTGTCAGCCAGAGGACTGTGAAGTGCAACCAATGGTAACAAAATAAAAACATTTGAATTTAATATATTTAAAACATTTGAATATATAAAATATATATTTGCATCAATATTCAATGAAGAGTCAGAACTAACCACTTTATAATGTTGTCTTCATATTGGTGTACTTTTTTTTTTTTTTTTTTTTTTTTCTAGAGTGAGATGTTTCAGCTTGACAATTTTGGTCCAAGCTATCATCCCACATTTGAAGTGTTTCTGGATGTCAACATCAAGGAGGTCAGATTGGCGGTTTTGGACAAAACTGAAGATGGGAAGGAAGTGTGGCCCAGACGGCGAATCCCTCTTACAGGTACTCATGTCGGAGTAAGAGAACTGAGAGAGTTTGGGAGAGATTTAAGTTTATCTACAGACACTAATCTGCGAGAAACCATTACTATGTCCTTGGCTACAGTGTTGGGGAGGCTATTTTTAAAGTGTAGCATTATTCTTCAAAATAGCTACACGATTAACAAAACTGTAGCCATAGCTAACTATGCTAAAACAATTTAAGGGAGCAATGCAATATTTCTTTAAATATATAATTACGTTTGTTTTTTTTGTTTTTATTAGGCACAAAACAATGAGGATCTCAATTAGCGTGATCGCATTAAATAGATAAACAAAATACAACTTGCATAAATAGAATCATTTTTATATTTAAATGTTTTTAACATGTTAATATGCATGAATAGTCCAAACGTGTGACATTGTTCATCTTTATGGTGTGTGGTGGTTTGGCCTAGACTAGAGAATAAAGCTTAAGGCTGGAAAGATAGTGGTTCATTCCCTGCAAGGAACGAGATGTCAAAAGATTTGAAGGACTTTAAAATGTTTGTCAAATTTCTCAGTAATCTCAAATGTCTGTTTTTAATTATTTTATCATTTTTATTGTTAATAGCACCAAGTAAAGGTGTAGACCCTCCTGCACACAGAAGGATCCCAGGTCTGTTTTAATTACATGTTTATTCTTGTAATTGTGTTTTACACATACTGTACACTCTTCTGAAGACTAACTGAAATCATCTTTTGTTTCAATCAGAAACTGAATTTGTGAACACACATGGAGATAAACTCACTCAGAGAGCTTCATCAGTGATGGCGATTGCTGACAGTTTGAAGAGCAAAAACATCATTACTCCTGAAATGTGGAGTAAGATCCATGTTGCAGAACCACAACAGGAGAAAATGAGACTCTTGTTGAATACTCTTGAGTCTAAAGGAGATAATGCAAAAGTAGAATTCTGCAGACTGCTGCAGGAGAACGAATCTGATCTAGTAAATGAACTGGGGCCTTATTTATAAAATGTGCATATGCATATGGTAAAATCCACACTCAGAATTATAAAAACGGTCTTTGATGTGGAAAAGTGCTTACTGCCATGTCAGGTTCCAAACAGACGTACACATTGTTGCAGAGTTGGAGTACTGCAAGTATTTGGAAATCTAAGGAATTCTTTCCACTGCTCAAATAAAGGATTTGGATGTTGACTGGTGCTCTTCTATATGTTAATTACATTAATTAGGTGGCGTTTACAAGGTGGAGATCTGAAACCATTCAGCTGTTCACAATTTCAAGATTTATAGATTTCACATCTGGTTTGATTTCACATCAATGGTTTCACCATTAATCTACTGTACTTGTCTGTAGCGAGAGATCCAGATGTTTCTGTTTTCCTAATTGAGGTGTTACTGGCATTAACTCCTGCTGTTCATGTTCTCCAGCATGATCCAAAGAATATCTTGAGCAAAAACATCTGACGGGCTGTACAAATTTGTAATATTCCTTCATTTGTGTAATAACCTTTAATAAGTTGTAATTTTCTGTTTTCAAAATGTTATAATGTATACCCGGATTTAAATTAGATTGTAATCCCCATATTCTATTTTTGGTCCCCACTGTATATATGCTTGTCGATTGTGTAAATGTATTTTTTTATATGAGGTATGTACTGTATGATGTTGTTACTGTATGATAATGAGTCACAATGAAAGATGTTTTTATTTTATAATACTGTGGAAAAATAACCACATACAATTAAAAAAGAACCATAGTAAAAGTTGCTGTGGGGAAAAAGCACATGGGTCATATTTGTCTTTTGTATTTTACATTTTAACAGATGATTAAAACAAAGATAAAATAAAGTTACCCATAAACAATATGAAGTACAGGTCTTTTTTTTTAACAGGACCATGAGGAAATGGATCTCAAGAGTCACACTGAAACATGCTCTCACATTCACACAATATAAACACAGTATTGCACATTCACTCCCTCATCTTTCTGTCTCTGATATGTGAATTTGATTCGTCAAATTCATTGTCCTCTCGTCATAAAGGTACCAAATAAGTCTCAGTCATTAAGAGATCTAACATGGATATTTAATGAAAACCCATTTTGTGCAAACTTTAACAGAGTGGCTCCTTTAACCAGTTCACTGTAAAAATTCTACTTTATTTCAAATAGTGACAAACCTGATTAAGGCTGCTAATTTGTTGAACCAAAATGTATTGATCATTGCATATTTTGAATGTTCAAACTTTTAGTATAGGCCAAAGGTCATGTAAATTTCAGCAGATTAAACCTAAATCAAACCAGATTTAAACTCAAGAGCAGAAACATTTTCTGCACAAATTGAGCTTTTCTGCAGAGCAGAAAGGTTTTGAGCTCATAATAAAAGCCCTTCTTTATTTTGCATAAAAATACTTTACTGAAACCCAGGACTTGAATTAATAAATCGCTTCCATTTAAGTATTATTTTAAACTTTGCTCTTGTGATCCGATTCAACATCCCTTTACAGAATTTAGAAACGTGTACAAATCATAAACAAAAAATATTTTAAAACAATTTTCTCCTTTACATTGCTTATACCAAAAACCATTCCATCTCTGATCCCTTACCACCATCTTAGAAAAATACTATAAAAGCGCTTTCAAATGCAATTTAGTTCAGATACAAATATGGAAAAGCACTCTACTCTACTTTGCAAATGTGAAGGACAAATACATGGACACTTCAGAGAAAGAGATTGATCACATTCAGTTATTTCCTCCACATCAGCAAACACACACTCTCACACACACATAGAAACACAAAGCGTCAAATACTCATGAGGTTTTCTTGGAAGGAGGCAGAGCGTGTGTTCAGAGAAGAGTCCGTAAGCTCACTTTGACACTCTGTAAGTAGCATCCATTTGTAAAAAATCCTAAAATGTTACATAAACTCCAGCTTTCAGAGTTAAAAGCACTGGTGGCATTTACCCAGATACTCACGTCTCCGTCCTATCAGAAGAGTTCAAACTGGCAGCGGACAGCTATTCCTTCGAGGAGCTCGGGCAGTGTGAGCAGTGGTGATGTGAGCGTGCCGTACGGTGAGTTATTTCACAAGCGATTGTCGACACCTGCAGTATTCTTCAACTCGCTGACTTGTTCTGCAATATCACATTGTGGATTATACAATCAGTGTGAGCCCATCATTTAAAACGCATCATATTTTATTAGGTGGATTGATGGGACAGATCTAAACAGGTCCAGTGTAAAAAACCATTACACCATAGCAATCAGGCTTTCACTGGGCTTTACACCCAATAGTTGATGGCTTCTGGTGCCCTCCAGCCTTCTATTGGCCATTCTTTCAGCCAATACAATTCACATGGAGAAACCCGTCCAATGGCTGCTTTGCAGTGTCTCATTTTGGTGCAGAGATTTTAGAGGATTGGTATTACCACATCAACCCATCTTCTTCAAATTAGGAAAGAAGAGGGAAAGATGATAAGGTTTACATGCTTTCTCTCCACTCATCGCTGTGACCTCTTGTGATTTCCTCTTCTGCTGCAGTCATTTATTAATTTGGCACTTTTTTTCTCTCAATCATATTGTTGTAAAGGTAGAAAACGCAATGTGTGTGTGTGTGTGTTTGCATATACTTGTGTTGGAGAGAAAGTTTCAGACTGTAAGAGTGTGTAAAAAGGAATGTGTACCATATATTTTCATCCACGGAAGTGTTCTTTTGTTGGCAAGTGTGTCTGTTTCACACATGAGTCTGCATTCTCTGCGTGTGTCTCTGAGAGTATTCTGTGGGCGGGGTTGAATATGGAAATTGGGCAGAGCTGGGGTATTTTCCCGCATTAGCATCTTGACTCGTCCCCACCCCTTGTCCCGTAGGATACATTTCATAGGCTGGTCCTGCCTCCAAAGGTGGGGCGAAGCCTAACCTGTATTGAGGTGTCGTTGAATAAGCGTAGCTGTCAAAAGCCAGTGGATTGGTTGATTCCAGCAGGCCACGTTCTCCAGAATAGTCTGTGGGCTTGGAGACAGGCTTGGGTGGGGCTTGGATTTGCGATGCCCTGGCAATGGTGTTAAAATGGGTGTATGTGTTGTGAGCCATTCGGGAAGCAGGCCGGGGCTCGTAACGGCCTGTGGGTGCCGGGTGAATGTTGGCCACTGGGCCGCCGGCTGTTGCCGAAACTGAAGCGGGATTCGGTGGCCGAAATTCCTGGTACAGCAGGGAGCGGGTAGAGGTGCGGACCTCGTCATGTGTCGTAGCTCGAACATTGTAGTAGCCGTTGGTGGGGTCCTGAAATGACAAAAATATAATATTTCACTGATATAATATATAATATTTCACAATTAACACTGCTCAATTTCATGGGTTAAACTCAGCCTTTGCAATAGGAATCTGCAAAATTGAGAGCTTTGTGTGAGTCATCACACAAGTTGGTCATGTTTTGCTGAAATTTCACTAATGTGACCACACATTTAGTCCTGGTTTATAGGCACTGTATAGGAGTGTGTGAACATCTGTGTGTTTTACTTTGCACACACTATCGTTAAAAAGTGTGGGGTTGGTAAGATTTGAAAGATTTTGATAAGAAAATGTTTTCTGTTTTGGTGACCATTTATTTAATCAAAAATACAGTAAAACAGTATTTTAATTAAAAAAACCGTACATTTAAATTTTACATTTAAAAAACTGTTTTCTATTTTAATATATTTAAAAATGTAATTTATTATTTTTACTTCAGCGTTCAGTATCACATGACCATTCAAAAATCATTCTAATATGCTGAATTTATGCTCCAGAAACATTTCAAATTATTATCATTATGTTGATTATTATTATGATGTTGAAAACTGTAGTGCTTCTTAATATTTTTGTGGAAACTGTAATACATTTTGTTCAGTATTCTTTGACTGACACCAAACTTCTGGGAAAAACTATTCAAAAGTGTATATTTTAGGAAAACAACCCCATAAAAATGTTGGACCATAGCTATAATACTTCCTCTGTCTGTGTCAAACATTAAAGGTAAAGTGTGTAATTTCGGCACCACCAGCATCAGCAAACAGGATTGGAAAAATAAGTACAGCCTTCAAGAACACTCCTCCTGTTTGCTATTGGTCAGGCAAATAGATAGCCCCGCCCCAAACTCACAGCATTGGTTGAGCCAATGTTACTGCGTGAGGCTGGTTGGGGTCTCAAACAGTGAAATGTTTTGATGGTGCCACAGTATTTTTTTTACACTTTTAGAGGCAATCAACCTACTTATTAAACTTTAACAGTAAACAGGAATTCCAAAACACTTTGGAATACACTTCTCCTTTAAGTATAGCATTGATGTCTATATGCACCTGCGCTGTTTCTTACCTTGGGCTCATACTCCTCCACCTTGGGCTCCACCGTGTCGCTCTGGAGGTCCTGCTTCAGGTCCATGTCATCTTTGAAGGGCTGGGTGGAGGGAGAGAGGGAGACAGAGGGAAGAAACTAAACCATCAAACGACAAAACACACACACGGAGAGAGGGAGGAAGAGAGAAGGAGAGAGAGGGAGGAAAACAGGATATCAGCTTTATCAGAATTGGTGAAGAATAGATGTTCTTTAGTTTGTGGTGGAAAGAAAGTCTTTCATCATGGTCTTTCACCATTAGAAACTTTTTATTTACAGATTTATCTTTTATCTATTCAACAATATCTTTCTTTAATTCTTTCAGTTATGGATCAAATTAAGCAGAAATGGCCCATTTTGAAAAGCACTAAAACTGGCGGCTCCTAAACTCACTAAGTATGTTTACATGCACTTTAATAGTTTGATTTCAGTCAGACTAAAAGTTCATATAAATGCTTTAGATTGACTAAAAATGTACCAATCCAGCGTTTGCTGCCAAAGCTGGACTAGATAATGTGATTGTATAGAGCAGTTGAACCATATTCAAAAAACAGCAGATGCTTCCAACAACAAGTCATTTTTTTGTTTACACTGAAAGCAAAAATGCAGCACGACGGAATATAATCACAACAATCACAATATGTTCGATATTTCATACTGCTACACTACCATTCAAAAGTTCAGGATCAGTGAGATTTTCTTTTAAAAGAAATGAAAATGAATAAATGAAAATAAATAAAGAAACCTTTATTCAGCAAGGAGCCATTAAATTGATCACAAGAATAAAAGCTTTCTATTTCTATTATATATAAATGCTGTTCTTCTGACATTTCTATTCATCAAATAATCCTGAAAAATATGGTTTCCCCAAAATATTACACAGCACAACTGCTTTCTACATTGATAATAATAAGATTTTTTTTTGAGCACCAAATCAGCATATTAGAATGATTTCATGAGGATCTTGTGACACTAAAGACCGGAGTAATGATCTATTACAAGAATTACATTTTAAAATATTTTTCAATAATATAATATAATATACTATAATATAATATTCTTATATTATAGTATATTATATAATATTATATAATATTTATAATATTCAAATATATGCAGCCTTTGTGAGCATAAGAGACTTCTTTCAAAAACTTTAAAAAACCTTACCGACCCCAAACATTTGAACTGCAGTGCTCTTTACAGAGAAACCAAATGCCCGACATAATTTCTCGTCACACTTCTCTGTAGTTGGTTAGGTTAAAACATGCAAACTAACCACTCTAACACAACAGACTTTAACCACTCTAACTCTAACATGACAGACTTAAGTGCAAAATGCCCCTAGTATCGTCATTTTTTAATTAAGTCTTTATTTCTTTATTTTTTATGATAACAAAATATCATGTCTGACCATATATTTATGAATGTTATATCAGACAGCCTGACAGTCTAATTTATGCTATAGATACTCACAGAATACATAGCCTTTACCATTCGTGTAGCTGTGGAGGCGCCGGCAGCCTCTTCCTCAAGACTGTGAGTTTCCTTGTTGACCGTTTCCACCTTAATGTCTGGCTTCAACGTGACTCCACGACGACCTGCAAGCATAATAGATCACTGACTCAAAGCCGCACATCATTTTAATCAATAAAATGATTTAATGGTTCCATTAAATCACAGCAGTTTATAGGCATTGGTCTGAAAGCAAGATTATGATTTCTCTAATTGTATTGTTACAGACTGAACCTACGACCTTTGTGTGAGCAGGCTGTTCCATAAAAAGGTAGGGCACATAAATCTTTAGCATGTGTCTCATTGAAACGGATATTTTGCATTGCCTTTAGCTGCCGTCAAAGTTTCAATGACAAAAAAAAAGCATAAAACTGTTTTTGCGTAAATAGTAAAACCTGCTGAGAATTTTTTTCTGTTTCTGTTAAGTTTGCAAGTTTCAGCAATGTTTATTCTAATTTCAGTTTTTTTGTTTAAAATGTGTTTAAATGTAGCTTTAATTAAAAGAAGCATATTAACTATTTTTGTAAATATAAATGCATATAAATACATTACAATTAAAATATCCATTATTTTCATTTCACACAATTGGTGAGGGAAGAGTATTAACAAAAATTGTAATAGTAGCTCTAAAAAATAGAATTATTATTGAAATGAATAAATAAGCAACATATATTGTGGTAAAATATGTGGTAAAATATGATTTAGATGTTTTAGACATGCTTTTTCTTCTTTTCTGTCTTGTAGCCACACGGGGACACCAAACCATAATCAAGCATTTTACACTTTTTTTTCACCATTTGACTTTCAGAGCATTGCCTTTTAATACAAATGTATATTTATTTTCTTAGAAATTCATCACAAGCAAATGAACATGAAACACAGATGCACACACACAGAGCCACACACATACACAGTGTACTCACTGCCTTTGCGCTGTCGATACAGATAGAATATCAGAGCAAACAGGAGGAGCAGAAGCAAAATGGAAGATCCAACAGAT